AGAAAAACTGAAAAAGTAAATGATTAAACCAATTTAAAAAAAAAAAAAACAAGGTCTAGTGCTATCTATACAACAAGTCATAGCAGGTAGGGATGTTTTCAAGGGACACTGAACAGCTTGCTAAAGACACTCAGGGCAACAGCCACACTGGTGAACTGTTAGCTTCCAGAATTAAGATGGGACTGCTTTTAAGCTCTGACTGAACTTCACTGGGGAAAGGAAGCAAGTCATATTCTCTCTCATTTCTCCTGTTTACAGCCCAAATCAGACTATAGAAGACAATTGCTTTTGGAGGGGGGTCACTGGGGTACATTTTGTGGACTGCTTTTCAGGGATTTGTGACTAACAAGAGCCCATCATTCTACAGAAGTTGTTGCCATAGAAATTATTTACATAAGTAGGAGAGAAGGAATGGAGATACTGTAGGAATTTGGTTGGTTTGCTTACATCTCTCTGGATTTAAATAATTTTAGTTCACACAGAGTTCAGTTATGTATGTGTGAAATGTCAAACCCTTTTTATCTCCCTGTACTCTGTCTTATGGCTTCTGCAACTTCACTCTCAGATTTGATAAAGCTGAAATTAGGATAATTATGTTTTCCTCCTTTCTCCCTCTCTTTCCTCCCCCCTCTCAATTACATATATAAAAATTGACAGGCCCGGGATATTTTTGTTTGTTTGTTTTTGTCTCAGTTTAGTGGAAATTAAATAATGAGTATTTTGGTGGCTATCGTCTGGTACTGGTAAGGTCTGAGTTAACGGCAATTTGCAGAGTAACCATGGTAACTTGCATATGGGCAGATTCTATTAATCTTGTTGAGATTAAGAGTAAATCCCCAAGGACCTTTTGCAGTGAGTCAGAAATAAATCATCTCTTCACATATATATTATTTGGTGACAGCCACTCTAAGTGTGTGTCTCTCCCCAACAAAGAAATCATACAGTCCTTCTAATGGAAAACTCATTTCCCAAATAAGAGAATTTATAAAGTAAAGAAAATGGCTAAAATGAATAAATACACATAAATACTACATGGAAGAAAGATTTATTCAACAAACATGCCATAGTCATAACAGACATACAGAGAAAGACTATTCCCAGTTAAAAATGTACATAAGCAGGTACAGGTCTGCCTCAGTGGTGACCATGTTCTTAGTGTGCATAAAGCTATCCTCAGCACCTCAAAATTTACTTCTGTGGAACTGAAACCCAAAGCTACAAACCAAAAACAAAATTTGAGGCTCTTTAATGAAAAAAACTCCAAACATTTGTAGCATTTAGATAATAGGAATGAGAAACGTAAGTTGAGCTGGACTTGGTAAGAACATCTGGCAGCTCGAGGAGAGACTACGAATGTATTCTATTTATACAGAGATGTCTACAAGTAAGGAAGTATGGTGTGGGCCTACCTAAAATCATATTTGTCCTTCAGTAGTCCCAGAGTAAGCAAAATATGCTGGCCCCATGTCACAGGAAAGAATACTGACATTCAGTGTTACTGCCTGCCGTGTTGGAAGAGAGGAATTTGCTTCTCTCATGCTTTCTCCTGACCTAAATTCACAGTACGATGTAGATAAAATGTGCATAACTCTGAGTTTTTCTCAACTCTTGAGGTTTATACTTCTTCATTTCCAGGTTTTTCTGGAATAATCTAAGCTCCTATTTTAATGTAGATTTTCATAAGGGAAATACAAAACATTACAACATCTCACGAAATCGAAGATGCAAAGTTTGCCTTTTATAGGATTTCCTGGCCCTGGGATATGTCTTATAAATGACTCATTCTGATTACTATGCAGCAGTACCAAACTTGGATGCCATTCCCTGTGTATTCACTAATCTGGTCATAGGTATTTATATTGTTGTCACCTTGATTGAATTATGCAGTTGTTGGTGAGACAAAAGCTACTTTATAGGTAGACATGTATATAAATTTGATGTTAGTGATAAGAATGCTGATATCAATACTCATTTTAGAGTAATAACTATAACTTCATAGTTTCTTGCAAAACAACAGTCTAGTGCTCTGTATTGAAGATACCCACAAGTAGATAAAATATGATAGCATTTATTACTGATATAGGCATGGCATGATTATATATCATTCAGTGGGCAAAGCAACTAAAGAAAAAATATGTTAAATTCCTCGTAATACATGAAAGAAACTTTAAAGCAACAAGAATCAAAACTAACTAACAAATACATTGAGCAGAAGTATTGTTACAATGTGACAGTTTCATTATTTACATCTTTATTCCTGATTGCTGTGAAATCATTTTTACTTTATAATTTATGGCATCTTAGGTTATATTGTTCTGATCCTGTCTTGCTGTGTCTAAAACTATTTTTCCTAATCAACTGATGGAAAACATCAGTAAGTCCACAGTAGTCAAAATCAAAACCAAATGATAAGCCTTCATAACCCAATTTCAGCTGTAAAATCAGGTCAAGCCTGATTTTGTCCACCTCAACACAAATATCCGAGACCACAGTTTTGATTTTATTGAAAAGAAAGCCAATCTCCATTGGCTCTCTAAGCTATTCTTTATAATTCCGTGGAAATTATAGAAATTCTTTTTTTGGTGATTAGCAATTTAGAACATACAAGGATACTATTCTAAAATATTTATACTTAAGGAACAGAAAAACTTGGATATGCATACATAAATAGATAATCTGTGTAGCAGCCTAAAGGCTCATAGATTATGTTTTGAGCAAAACCATATTTAGTCATGTTTAAGGGTGGAAGTGAGCATGCTGTTAACTTGGTTAAAGGACAAAGACTAGTTTGGTGAGTGGTGAGCTGTACCCCTTTCTGGCCTTGGTGGTGTTCTGGCACTCCGTGTAGAAGGATGGCTCCACCCAGGTCAGAGGAAACTCAAGAATCCAGGAATCCATGTCATTTTCACCTTGGCCCAAACTTCTTCTCGAACATCTGTGACAGTCTCTTGTGAAACCTGTGTGACTAGTTCCCTCCTGATTATCAGATTTCCGGCTGTGCTACCAACATTAGACTTCCTTTAGAGGGGCTGGGGATTTAGCTCAGTAGCCTAAGCGCCTGCCTGGCAAGTGCAAGGCTGTGAGTTCAATCCCCGGTACCAAAAAAAGAAAAGAAGAAGAAAAAGAAAAAAGAACTTTCTTCAGTGCAACAAGGATACAAGGCCTTTCTAAGCATTGGCTGGCTTTCAGTTTATAAGACCTGCCAGAGGAGAAGGATCATGTACTTTTAATTATAGAAGGAAATCCAATCAATTTCAGATCCTCCAAAAGAAACAGGATTTTCTCTGTAAAACTATATTATCACCTGAGGATTATAGTTTTTCTGCGTGTTTGGTAAGTTTTATACCTTAATGTGCTTTGAACTGATCATTTTTCAAGTGCTCCATGTATAAGATGTAATAAAAATCAGAGTTTAAAATTTCTGTCCTTCTTTCTCCAGTCCATGGAGACTGCCACACCTCACTGTTCCTAAAAGAATATGGTATTCTGAAGTATCAGAACTATCATATGGCCCAGATTTTTCTAATGAAACATGGTATGCCTCTGTCTTGTCCAGGTGAAATCAAGATTACATTAGTGTCATTTGGAAACTTATGTTCGATTGAAGGGAACTCTGAATAAGAACTTAGCTATTGCTTTCTTCTCAAGAGGGAGAAACAGTGTCCACAGCTCACTGAAAACGCTCCAGCTGCAGTTTAAAACACTTCGCTTTTTTACTCTCCCTTTAAGTAGAGAACAACTTGTCTCCATTTTCTACTTAATAGTCCTAAAGAATTTGACAGTTGTTAGGAAGATCATTCCCGGGTTTCTCTTTTTGACACTTACAAATCTATTCCTTCAAACTTTAACCATTTGTTTAGCTTTTCAAAATTCTAGTATGTCTCTCATGACTGTGCAGTCAGCAATGTCTCTCCCACATACCTAAGACTATTGTCCTCAAATAATAGAAAGTGAAAATTTAAAAACCTGACTTCCTTTCTGGGTAGCAATGAAAGCATTAGCACTTAAATCTGGAAACTTGTGCAGAGTACTATGGAAACACATTCAAAATCACAGACTTGAGGACCATGTTACCTGGAGATGAGTCCCAGGTCTGCCACTTAACTAGCTGTGTGATCTTGAGCAAAGTATTTAAACCCCATTACCCATTTTCCTCAACTGTGAAATGTTATTACAGTCTCTTCCTTGTGTTATTCTGAAGACTGAATTAACATGGCATATGTAAAATAATACTTGCACGTGATAACTTTAATTATTAAGTTTTGAAATCAAAAGCTGTTTGTCAGGATTCATGCTGGAGGCCAGTTCTGGGTTCCAAATGTCTGTTTGTAGTGACTTAAAATGCCAGTATTTTTATATTGATATTAATTAACATGCATTTTTCATTAAAAATGTAAAGCCTGAATATATTAGTTCAGTTTCTTTTTACAGATTATTATTACCCTTCAATTTCATGAGCCCCTTTTAACCTCCTTAAATTGTTGTGACTAGAAAAAAGGAGTTTTTGTGTGGGGGGCTGTAAATAGAGGACCAAAGTTTTCCTGAAAGAGTTTTCTAGAGACATGAGACTTTTTACTGTTATTTCAGGGAACATCTTCTACAAAATGGTGGTTAGTTTACTGTAGCACCTAAGACAGGAGTAGAATAGGGAAAGGAAGAAGTGGGTAGTACTCTTCTTATCAAGTAATTCTTGGCACAGCACCACTGTTGACTTGGTTATTTTTATCAGTGCTTGGGGATTAAACATCTAGCTTTGCACATGCTAAGCACGTGCTCTGCCAGTGAACAACACTCGCAGCCTGTTGCTTTGATTTCTGACTCTTGGAATCCCTGGTGAGAATCTAAAGGGTGGCGTTGTGTTGAACTAATTAATTTTAAATGTCAGGCATTTGGACTTCATTTTTTGGTATCGTCATCTGTGGGCTGTATTCCTCCTCGTTCGTTTTACGCTGTTCTGCCCTGCTCTGATCATTTTATGCTTATTATTTTTTTTCTTTTAGGTCAACACAAATCAAAACATACTCTTGGGATAATGCCCAGGTTATCCTGGTTGGAAACAAATGTGACATGGAAGATGAGCGGGTCATTTCAACCGAGAGAGGCCAACGTTTAGGAGAACAGCTTGGTAAGAAATAAGTTAACAAAAGAATTTGGTAATTATTTGAAATACCAACAGGATCACAGCTCACTATTGGGATGGAGTTAATGGAACTTTGTCAACAGACTATGAAAAGTGACTCATCCTCTATAAGCAGTCAGTGGGTTTCTTCCTACTTACTTGGCATTGGTTTAATTCAAACACAATTACAGGAGCAAAAATGATTCCCACAATGTTGCAGTTAGCACAAAATATTCAAATTATTATTTCATGAGAAATACAGCTTATGCTATTACTTTAGTTTTTTTTTCTTCATGCACATCATTTTGCATTGAGTATTTTGTTTTATTGTGTAATCATTTTTGCTTTTAAGTTTCTGTTAGAGGACAATAATGGCACTGAACAGATGACATCCTTGATTTTAATTCTAGGGACATCATTGGTAAACCATGTTACTGTCATGAACCTTTTAAAGACTCAGTTTTCTCGTCTCTCAAGAATTATTACTTCCCCCAGCACTTTGGGAAGGATTCTAAGTTTGAGCCAAGTCTAAGTGAATTAGAAGCTTAGCATCCTTCTCAATGCACATGCACACACGCACACGCATGCACACACACACACACACATACACACGCTAAAAGCTGAGAATGTACGTTAGTGTATGTACGCCCTGGGTTCAATCCCCCTTACCAAAAAAGAAAAATAATCATTACCTTAATCTATACCTACCTTACCAAGCCCTTAGAGATAACATCAAATGACATAATATGTGAGAGCTTTAGAAATAGCAAGGTTGTTTCAAACACAGATATTGTATCTAATGAGCAAAATGCTAAAGCAAGTAAGGTAGGGTTCAGTATAAAAGACGAATTGATGGCTGATTGAGACGTTTTTACTGAACATCTATGTACCCTCCATTGTGTCAGATGTAATCAGTGAACCAAAAAATGATGATCCACAGCTATTGGGTTCAAGTTGCTGTCAGTCAAGTAGCGAGACTAGAGATACACACAAGAAAACAGAAATAACATGACAACAAGGGCAGATGAATGAGGATTTCATGAGCCAGAAAGCAGATACCAAGAGGAAAGCAGCAGGAGGAGGGAGGCAGACCAGTGGAGAGAAAGACTCTCAGTGGGGGAGTCTTGGAGGAGACAAGGGTGGACTTGGGCAGGTCAGGTAATGCAGAGGAGATGCCTACAGAGACACTGGGAAGGAACCAGCAGTAGCCTTAGGAACAGGTGGTTGAGAAGAGATAGTAACTATGTGAGTTAAATGCAAGCTATGGCTCAAAGGTCCCTCAAGAAGATCCAGCTTTGAAAACGACTAAGAGAGGAAGCATTGTGAACAAAGAATACAGAGGAACAGACATTGAGAAGAGCAAAATCGAAAGTATGTAAAACTGTTAGGACCTAACATGGTGTTGTGTAGGTGAGTTGTACATTTCAAGAACAATTCCAGTTCTAATGGTTAGAGCTAGAGTTCTTTGTTTATGTGTCTGGTCAATCTTTTCTCCAGCACAAAAGAATGTTGAAGGACTTTTAGCCAAGAAAAGCCCTAAGGTAAACATATATTCAACTTAGCAACCCAGTGCATTTGTAGAGGATGAAAGCAAGTTTCACAAAACAGATTTTTACTTTTCCTAAATGAGATTCACTCCACATGCTTAGTTTTCATCTTTTCAAAATAATGGTGTCAGCCACTTAGGGGGGTCCAAGGGAGATTTTCTCAGGTAAGGTCCTAGGTTAAATTTATCATCCAGATATCAGCAACAATAACAGGCAGCATGGATTAGAGCAGAGCACAAGAATGTAAGTGCTCAAGAGAGCCAGAGCCAGCACCAGAGCTGCCTGTCTTTATTGTATCATTCCTACACAGGTTGTTATCTCATATTTACATTCTTACCTAGTGCCATAACCTCCACATGTGTGTTTACCTACGCTAAGTCGTGGTTACCTAACTGTATCTCACTGTGTGCCAGCACTACCTGAGGAGGTGACACCCCTGAGATATGAAGTAGTCTGAGTGGTTCCCCACAGATGGATTCAACTCTTAAGTGGGTCCTAGTAATAAATCACAAACCTGCAGTTTGAAAACACTGCTGTGAAAGGGATGATCTGGGCTCAGGTTGCTGCAGTTGTATCGTGGGTAGTGAAGCAGAGTCCTCTCAGTGGGTCATCCTGTCTCACGGTGATTTCAGATATCAACCATGCAGTTTACTCTAAGAATCTTATCATCTCATGAGATCAAAAACGAGCTCATTGCAGTAAAAACTGTCACTAGATGAAGAAAATGTCACACAACTCATGTCTGTTCCCACAGTAGTGTCCCTTCCCATTCTGCCAACTTAACAATATTTTAGGAAAATCTGAAAAATTTGGCAACCTTTTTGAGTATTCTCAGGAAAATAGGAGACTAGTAGGTCTCCAAGGACAGAGAGAAATGGAATGCATAAGAGCCTTGGAAGGTGGCTTCCTGAGACCATCTCTCCCTGTATTTTCTTGACTAGTCAAACATATTCCCCATGGGAGAAGAAACTCCCACACAGATACAGGCTGTCTCTGTAAATAAACCTTAAACCTGTCTTGTCCAAAAAAAAGTGGATTAGAACCAAGATCTGTTCAATGTCATTAGTACAAAAGATCCAGGTAATGGGCTCCATTTTTACCACTCTAGTAAGCTGCTTTGGTATTGAAAAGATCAGGTTATGGAAGGGATGTGACAAGGACATAAACACAGGAATACAATGACTTTCCTTAGAACTCCACTGACTGCTGACTGGCACTCACAAAATCCTCTCCATTCATTGTGCTGATGTGAGAAAGTTCCTGAAATTGTGAGACAGAAAGGTTTTATGTTCCTGTGCAAGTTCTTCCCCTGGTCTCTAACTGAATTTTTCTCTCTATTCTATAAAATTTAGAAGTTGTCATGACAACTGACACATGGATGTTCTTGGAGAGCCATTACCTCTTTCAGTGTGGTTTGTTCACCTTATGGTTACACGTGTCTATAAATGATCAAGACAGATAATTTGGGGGAAGAGCACTCTCAGAGTCTCAATTTAATGCTTTTAAAGGCCTTTACTTAATTTTTTAAAAAATTTACTGGCAAAATTTTAGAATATTGTCATACACCAAGATTAGAGGTGATTACCATATCTTTGAAAATCACTGAAAATAACTGCCTTATTGATTTGGTTATGATTAAATCTCCATTATGGATGGCTATATCCATACAATACTTGACCTGTCCTAATTTCCCAAGTTGTAGCTGAGCTCTAAAATTCCTCAGTGACACATATCCTTGTCAACAGAATATAATTCACCAGACATTGTTTACAGTATGACAGGTGCCTGGAATGTAATTTGACAAATAACCCTGTTTTCCAGGAACCATGATAGTATCTCCCACAGACAATACATATAAAGAAAATTTTTTGGCTTGACTACCTGGTCATTTTGTTTCATTTGGTCCTGCTGAGCACTGCTTCCTTGTTATTGCTACAATCTTGGTTCTGTGGCCGTGATGCTCTCCAGTCTTTGCCTTCTCTGGCCATCTGTTTTCTCCTTAGTAGATTTCTCCCCTTCCTTTGCTCCTTCCGTTTTGGCTTTCACCCCAGCCCATCACCCTTGCTTCTCTGCACTCTCTCCTGGATATTCCTGCCTACGCCAAGGTTTTCGCTCTGTCTACAGATTGATGACTCCAAATCCGGTCCCAGCAGGGACCTTACCTTCACCTTCAGATTTCCATATCCAACCGCCAGCTGTGTATATTGAGAACCTCTGATTTAGAAGGGTCAGTTGGCTATTCACCTGCAGCGGATTGTGCTGGGGTTTCAAATGCACGCTCGTCAACCCACCTCAGACCTGCTGCAGCAGTTTCTGAGGCAAAGCCTAGGATTCTACATCTGTAACAAATACTCGTGTGACTTTCATAAATACTAAGTTTCTAGAACTCTGACTTTAATGACTAGGAGTCCTATAGCTGATATTATTTTTCCTTTGCATGCTTTTAACAGTTTTTAGACATGTACCTGTAATAATTCATAAGAAAATTTTGTTTTAAAACTTACATAAAATTTAAAATATGGCAATTATACTTGGTCTGGTAACACATGCCTATAATACCAGAGAGACCCTCTCACAAAATTTTAAAGAAGCAGAGTGTGGTAGTACACACCTGTAATCACAGCACTTGGAAGTTGGGGAAAGAGGATTTCTATAAATCTGAGGCCAGCCAGAGCTCCCTTGTGAGTTGAGGCCAGCTTGGACTATGTAATTACATGGCTGAGGAAACAATGCAGTGATAGGACATTTGCCTAGCATTCTCTAAGCTCTGGGTTCAATCTCTAACACTGGGAAAAAAATATATGTATGACAATTACAAATGTATACAATCTTAAAATTTGTTTTATATGTAAAATTGAAAATTACAGTGATTGAAAAATACAGTGAATTTTTAAATTTTTAGAAATTCATTACTGTAAGAGACACATTGCCATTGCATATTTTTTTCTTGCTTTAACACACTTACCATATCATTCTTGCCATTTTCTGAAGCAATTCTAGAAATTCAGTTTTATGTCCTTAGGTGCATTGTCATAACTTCCTGCACGTCTTCAATCAATTTAAAATTTTTACTTTTCTTGTTCATTTTGACTTTGGAGAAGGGATAGAAGTCACATGGTGCTGGATCCAGTGAATGAGAGCACAGTGTATGTTTTCTTGTTTGTTTTTGTACCAGGGATCAAACTCACGACCTTGTGCTTGCCTGGCAGGTGCTTATGTTGCGGAGCTAAACTCCCAGCCCCACATTATTTGTTTTTATGAGCCTGCCTTTCTGCTGGGTGTCACTTGGCGTCATTTGGTTGCAGCATTCACCATATTTTTCATCACACCTCCTTAAAACACTCACAAAAGAAGGCTCCCAGAACTATTTCAGTAAGTGACAAAAACACTGAGATATGTGTATTCAAAGGAAATGGATATATTTGGGAGGAAGATTAATGGGTTTGTGTATGTCACAAT